CAATGTGTAAGTTGCCATGGCAGTTTTTGCCAGTTGCTGTTGCAGGCGGTCAAGGAAGGTAGAGGTACAAACACCTGCCTGTTTCCAGGGATTATTTGTAGTAATATGTGTACAAAATGGATGGTGTACAAGTAAAGAGTGTAGGTGCGATGCACTAACCCTGGACATTAGGTTCTCTGTTCATGGCCTTTGGATATTAAGTGACTAAAATAATACAGAACGCAGATTTACTGACCTGTCTTAATTTCTCTGGTAGCCCTTATCAGAGAGCCAACTACCGCTATGATTCAAGAGATGATAATAAGGAAACAAGAAGACTCAAGGAGAAAGCAATTGTGAGTATATGCCCGATTGTAATTGTAGCAGGTTGCTGCCAGTGTACTATAACTGAACATAATTTGGATATTGAATAACCTTTACAGTCTCTAATATGGTTTCATGCTGATTTCAGGAGGAGCGAAGAGTAGTTTACGTTGGACGCATTCATGGGGGTATGACCCGAAAAGAGCTAAGAGAGCGCTTCTTGTACTTCGGAGAGATAGAGGACTGCACTGTGCACTTTAGAGAGCAAGGGTGAGGACGCCAACTATTTGTGTTGGTTTCCAAATAATTGTAAATAATGCAGTTGGTTTTCCTTTCCTTTCAGTTGCAATAATTTAAACTTTATTTTGCAGAGACAACTATGGCTTTGTCACATACTACAGCACAAAGGATGCATTTAATGCAATTGAGAATGGAAGCAAGCTACGACAGCCGAATGAGCTTCCATTTGATCTGTGCTTTGGAGGCAGGAGACAATTTTGCAAGACCAGTTATGCTGATCTAGGTGAGTAAGACTTTTTGCTGTCTCCATCACTGGGAAAACATGAGGTGTGGTTTTCCAGAATGGATTCCATCTGGCTTGTAGTTAAAATTTGGTTTATTTAACATTGTAGAATCCTAAATAAAATTAATCAACATAAAATCCTAAACAAAAAAATCAGTTTGACTAAACCTGGAGAGGTCCAAAATGTCTGACTTGAAGCAATTGTGAAAGAGAATAAACACTAGGATCCTGGAAATATGAACGGTGAAACGGTGAAATTTTTAACTCGGTCATAAAGAGTTCAGGGACAGTTATCCCCTTTCTAAGGCTTCAGGGTGTTAACATTAAAATTTATTTAACATAAACAGTAGCCTACCAAATAGGCCACAGTGTCTGTGAATTGTTTTGTTCTCATATTATCTATGAAATTCATGATAAGTACCCTCATCAATCGAAGCATATCCATTAATTCTGAACAATATAGGGTTAATTGTCCACAAAACAAGACTTTGGATGGTGCTGCCCACAGTCTGTTGTCAAGACAAACAAAAGGAAAGTGTATATACTTGATGAATGGGATTCTTCATAATGTACCTGTACATAAAAAAATTGTTACTTTTTACTTCCATAATTAAGCTTACTGTCTAACTGTAAACCATGCTTGAAAAGCAACGCAAGTCTTCATTCCTCGCCAAAAACCTTACAACCAGTCTCATTTCTTCTCTTTTAGATTCTAATCAGGATTATGATCCAGCTCCTGCAAAGCGTAAGTTTGATGCACTAGACTTTGACACTTTACTTAAGCAGGCTCAGAGAAACTTGAAAAGGTAACGCTGAGAAACGAGGACATCGGAGGAGAGATCATCGATTACCTCAGTGCAACAGGCTAACGCACACACCTTCCAATGCTGCCATTCAGTTAGTGTCATTTTTGGTTGTTTTTCTTTCCCCCCTATTTCTGGTTTTGTTTCTGCAAGCTTACACCTTCTATTGAAGTGAAGATTTGTATGAAAAAAGTAAAAGAAGAAAAAAATAGCATACAATGAAATTATGTAATGAAAAATATGAATTTTTTAAAGGAAGAATTTATTTAAATGCTTGATCTGAAAAAGTAAATGTTAGATACATTTTATCAACTTGGAAGTTGAGTTGAACAAGCTGTAAGTGCTGAGGGATGGATTTACATTGCTGAAAATGTATTTCAACCCAAATAAAACCCTTAAAAGAACTTATTGTGTTATTGTGTATTTTGAAATCCTTGTGTTCTTGCATACATTCCGTACCAGTTTATAGTGTGTCAATGTTGAAGGCAGCCAGGAATCTTCAAAATGTGACAACCCTGAACACTAATGCATTTCACTGACATTCGTCTAGACTAAGAAGGGAATCTAGTGAAATAAGATGCTGTGAAGCATAGATGAAACACATTGTAGACAATGTGACAAATCCCAGTGAATTTACAGATTAGAAAAACACTTCAGTACTGCAATGCAGTACTTCACCTTCACACTTATAACCTAACCGATTCAACTTTTCAGCTGTATTGCACAGTTAGCCAAGTAATGATGTCAGACTATAGGATCGGGGGACTCGCACAACTGCCCAGTGTCATGGGGTAGTCATACTGAGGGGGTAGTCATACTGACTCATTTCAGTCAACAGTAAAGGAAACTGGCATTTTATAAATTTCACATGACTGTCATTTAAACAATCTTAGTAAATAATGAACTTAATTTTGACCTTGAACAAAGCATTAAATACTTTGGCTATTACTTGATCAAGAAAATGCTTAGTCTCACACAACTAATCCTTTCACTGTCTTTACCAATGTGTAAAAAAGGCATATGTGGTTTTAGTGCTTTAGACTACACCATACAGATGGCAAATGTTCAGGCTATGCAGGTACAATTCTGCAAAGCATGATACGTGTATCAAAGGTATGCGATCTGCAAAATCTTGGTTTGATAACATTTTCTCTCTAGAATTTTCTAATTATGTTGATTACTCAATTTGGGGAAACAGCTGGAAAAACTGAGGAAAAATCTAGGAGTCAGAGTTGGAAGCGAGAGTGCAGAGGTGAGCTGAGTGAGCTAGCAGTTAGCCTAAAGCCCTATTTATTGTACTGCATGGCTGTGGCCGACTACAGCCTTTAATAAAGCATGACTTTTGTATAAGCTTTAATAGCAGTACATGCTACAATATATTGCAATATGGCAGTTACCAAATGAAGCATATGAGTGCTGGCTGAAAAAGAAAATGGAGTAAGCTTAGTAGCCTGCTATAATGGAGATATAAAACCATTTTGACTTTTGTAAAGGCAATAATATGCATAAAAACATTTCAACACCTAAAATTTATAATTGAAGATAACTTATGTTTTCTGCATATTTTCGCCATTATTTTGATCTAGAAGTATACAAGAACCATTTACTCTTTTGCTGTTGTTTCTACAGCCATGAACCACTCAAAACACCATGGCTATATTTTATCTGTCAGGAAACTTTATTATAGTTTAACTTTATTAAGTTATATAATATTATAGTGTCTCTAAGAGCGCCGGATAGATAGGTGGTCTGTCAACAACATGGCGGCGTCGGCGACAAGTGCGTCGTCATTAGCCTTGGTAGTAGTTTGTAGCTGATCCCTACAGCCCAGCAAACACACAGCATTGTCACAACGTTACTACAACGTTGTCAATAGGTGGCGCTGGTTACGTGGTCTAAACAAGGTTGTCACAACCTCATAATTAAGTAGTTAACGTTGTCACACGGTACTGTGACCATAGATATGTACTTTGACTACCTGTTTCCAACGTAGCAAAATTCCATGTAGTTTTATGCGCAACATAATGGAGCTTATGATTATTCTAGGAGGTTGTAACAACGTTACAATGTCAGATAACGCTGTAACAACTTTCTGAGGAATTACATTCCAACATTGTGACAAAGTTGCGGGCACCAAAACAATAGGTTTTCCCAACGTAACTGTTTGCTGGGAGTGTAATCCCTCAAATAAATCCGTCTAGCAAGCAGCCACAGCTTCCTTTAACGTAGATTTAAGTTAAGTCAGAACCATCAGCCAACTGTGTTGGCACACTGTGGAATTAGATCTCCGCATTTAACCCATCCGTGCAGTGAAACACCCACACACATGCGCACTAGTGAAGACACACACTAGGGGGCAGTGGGCAGCCCTATCCACGGCGCCCGGGGAGCAATTGGAGGTTAGGTGCCTTACTCCAGGGCACATCAATCATGGACTGTCAGCCAAGGGGATCGAACGGGGCAACCTTCTGGTCACAGGGCTGGTTCCCTAACCTCCAGCCCACGACTGCCCCAAAACGAGACGTCCTTCGAGCCAGAACAGCAAGTGAACAGGAAGTGGAACAGCACATTATATCACCTAGAATTCGAGGTTCCTGGACTTCTACCAGCCCTTTTCACTCTAATACATGAGTTTAGCCAGAGCAATAATGGTTTAATCTGAGAACTAGACAAATAAGAATAAGTTTGTTAAACCCTATTACTGAAATGCGTGCGAAGACTGATTATTATTATTATTATTTTACGATTATTATTATTATTAACAGTACAGTTACGATAAACGAAGTCCGCCATGATAAAGTAGCGTAAATGACAACCTTTTCTTCATTTGAACTGTGGCGCTAAAGCCAAGCCACCTCCCTTTTACATTGCAAACAGGGTGGCTTTAAAATTTCATATGTATGTCAAGTAAATCGCTGGCCTTTATTAAAATTTCCAGAAACGCCACGTATATGAAATACCAACAAAAAACATATCTAAACGTTAACAGATTGAACTTCTGTCATGTCGTTCTCGTAATTATCGATAGTTTTTTCATCTAAATTCCCCCGTTGAGACCTTTAAGCATGCACGCACTAGCGCAGAGATGTTTCACCCAGGAGAAGCGCAACTCGTCCCATGTCTTGTTTGGTAGACTCACAAACGTCGTCCGCCACAGTGACCAAACACTGTTCAGGAAAAAAAGTGTTTTGTTTCATCTTGTACATATTTTATGGCTCTGATTGACTTCAGCCTACCCTGTGCGTATATAATGAATTAATAATAGTTCTCTCGGTTTCCTTGATATAACATCTAGTGTGTTATCTCGCCACTTTGCCGTAGTCTTTGATTAAGGTTCGGTTTTTTGACGCTCTAACTGGCTCTGACCGGTTCGAACTGGTTTTGTGAGTCTGCGCAGTGAGTGTAAACAGGAAGAGAAAAATTAGACTGTAGTAACGGTAGATGTTGATGAACGCGACGTTAAATGTTATAAATTTCGACCGTCCTTTGTTAGTAACACTTGGCATTCTGCACACGAACGTGAGCTATTCGTGCAGCCGCATTTGTCACGGAGTGTCCTGCTTCCAGCGGAACAGCGACAAACGCGTCAGCTTGAGAAAAACACTGATGCTAACTCGCTCGGCTAACAAACGCTAGCGGCTTTGACAGGATTGACGTTAAGGCAGATCAAACTACACACGGACTCGACCGGCTGGGGTCAGACAGACGCGCTTTCTTTGACATCCTAACAAAGCGTTTCTTTGTCGCATTACTAAAAAGGATCGTCCTTAAATGTGATTTGGTTTGCCTTAGATAAATACGGTATAAATTCGCTCCCTGCTGGTCGACAAGATGGCCTACTAACCCAGCTGGCCAAGTTTCATACTTCGAAGGACGGTAAATATTTAAAAATAACTCTCCAAAGTAGAACCAGAAACGTTTAGATCGTTGCTGAAAGCTCCTGAAGATGGTTCAGAAAGACAAAATCGTCGAAACCTCTCAGTCAGAGAGTGACCCAAGCCCGGGAGGAACGGAGGCTGGTGTCGAGGTGCAGGGCTCCGTTGACGAGCACAATATTGTGGTGGAGAGAACAGGCCGGAGAAAATTCATCAGCGGGGTTGTCGAGGGTAAGTTAACAGTAATCGTGTAAAGGTGATATAGGTTACTATATGCATAAATATTTTGTTCTGTAAATTGCACATATTATAGTTCTTATAACATTACGAAATGTGCTTATTAGCTAGTACGTTAGTCGCAGTAACCCACCCACTGAACAGTAACCTATATTTTTACAGATCGCTTCCGCTGCACAGTGAGCGTGTTTTTTATTGTGCTGTCTGTAATGCGTTTGTCACAATAACTGGACGATGTATTTTTACATGCAGGTTGAATTCACTATTGTCACGCATATATATATTGCTCTTTTGAGAACTGTGAAAATTTCTGTCGATAAAGTTAAAGTATGCCCTGTTGTGGAATTTATGCTGTGTGTGTGAAACTGATTGTTTGCCTTCTTTTGTTTGTCACAGGCTTTTATGGTCGACCATGGACAATGGAACAAAGAAAAGAGCTATTCAGAAGGTATTTTCATTTTTACCATGGTTTGATGTGGCGTGATATTACATTGTAGTTACGTGAAACTGACTATGATGTAAATGAGTCCTTTCACACTCTCTGTTGTGTTTTCCAGACAGCAGAAATGGGGATTGAACACTTACCTGTATGCACCCAAGGATGACTACAAACACAGAATGTTTTGGAGAGAGATGTACTCAGTTGAGGAAGCAGGTAAAAGCCTGTTGTTACAGTGTAGCATACCAGAAATGTTTCTGTAAAATATGAGATGTATGCTGCTGAAGTAGAAGGAGATAATTATTTGTATTTTATTCTTTCTAAGAACAACTCATGACTCTGATAAGTGCTGCAAAAGAGCATGGAATTGAGTTCATCTATGCAATCTCCCCTGGTCTGGATATAACATTCTCAAATCAGAAGGAGGTCTCTACACTGAAAAGGAAGTTGGACCAAGTAAAGATGCAGCTTTACTCTAAAATCTTACACATTGTTTTTTCATAATGTAGAATTGGTTCCGTGTTGTACTGACCAATCCTATTCTCAACACAGGTCTCTCATTTTGGGTGCAAGTCCTTTGCTTTACTTTTTGATGACATTGATCACAACATGTGTCCAGCTGACAAAGAAGTTTTCAGCTCATTTGCACATGCACAAGTGTCTATCACCAATGAGATCTTCCAGTATTTAGGAGAACCCGAAACCTTTTTGTTTTGCCCCACAGGTATGTTTTTTTTATTCTTTATGTGGCTCATATAAAGCTCAGTTGTTGTCTGTGTTCTGTTTGTTCAATTTCTATAATCTTGTCTTTATCAGAGTACTGTGGAACCTTTTGTTATCCAAATGTGGCCCAGTCGCCTTATCTGCGCACAATTGGTGAAAAGCTGCTGCCTGGCATTGAAATTTTGTGGACAGGTAAATATCTAACAGATGTGGCTGTGCCCAGAAATAAGTTAACAAGCATAATTTGGGTGCTAACAGCAGTGTTTTTTCTTCAAAGGTCCAAAGGTAGTTTCTAAAGACATAACGGTAGAGTCTATTGAAGAGGTGACAAAGATTCTGAGGAGAGCTCCAGTCATCTGGGATAATATTCATGCCAATGACTATGATCAGAAACGGTTGTTTTTGGGCCCATATAAAGGCAGATCTACAGAACTCATTCCTCGACTAAAAGGAGTCCTCACCAACCCCAACTGTGAATTTGAGACCAACTTTGTAGCCATTCACACATTAGCCACATGGTATAAATCAAATATGAATGGGGTGAGAAAGGACGTTGTCATGAGTAAGTATGCCTAACTTTAACATTGTTGTCTATATTAAGTGAATGCTTCAGAATGGCTGTATCATATTTTGTTTGTCTGGCATGCTCCACTGCCTGACTTTGTATCTTTGTCTGAATACAGTTAACTATGAGTCATATACGAACAGAAAAGCTTTTATGGCCAAATTAGTCGTTAATGTCCATGCCTTTGGGTCATGAACAATATCTCCTTATTATTGATTATCTCAGTGTGAATGTTTCACAGACTGGGAATAAAAGCCAGGCTGTAACCAACCAGGCTCAGAGTTTGCAAATACTTTGTAGCATAATGGTCCTCTTTATGAAATATCCTCATTACATAATGCTGCTTAGTGTATGGCAGCTTTTTTTGAAAAACTAAGCCTTAGATGACCTTTGACTAATTGCTGTCAGTGAGATCTTATTTTTAATGTTCATAATCGCTCAAATGTGCAAATGCACTCATTGGGCTGATAAACTGAAAATAAAAGTTTCTTTTCATCTTTTTTCGCAGCGGATAGCGAAGACAGTACAGTGTCCATTCAGATAAAGCTAGAGAACGAGGGCAGTGATGAAGAGCTGGAGACGGACATCCTGTACAGCCCACAGATTGCCCTTAAGCTGGCCCTTTCTGAGTGGCTCAACGAGTTTGGCGTGCCTCATCAATACAACAGTAATTGCCATTGTTTTATCATGTTAAGTTATATCCTTTTCAGCCCAGTGATGTCAAATAAATAAATAAATAATGTTAAATGTAATTGGTCAAAAAAAATGAAGCCTTTGGTGTTGTTGTGAATAGTATGAGTTTTTCGTTTTTTTTGTTACATCATATTTTAAGTAATGTCCATGACAGCATGGTAAGATCAGGAGGTCTTTTCTGGTCGAAATGTTTTTTGTCTAACCAGCAAAATGTTAATTAGCTGTTGAGCTGTATCAGGTGTGTTATGCAAAAAATGTCACCTGGCCCGGTGCATTAGAAAGTGCATTGAGGAGTTTTGTGGTCAGAAGAAATGATGAAATGATATAGGTAGTTGTTTGTCAGAAATGAAAAGAGCATTAAGCAATGAATTTATGAATAGTGAGTAACAATGATATTTTGTTTAATCACTCTTAATATTCTAAATGCTAAACTCGATTTACAAAAGATAAAAATTGTGACTGTGGAAGACCAATGAAGCCATATGATTTTATTTTATTTTTCTTCCTTTTGATAGGTCGTCAGGTGGCTCACAGTGGAGTTAACAGCTCCTCTGTTGATGTTCCCTCATTGACCGCCCCCTCTCTGGGCTCCTCCACTACAGTTACCACAGTGTTCCAGCAGCCCATTATGAGCCCTACTGCTCCTCTCAATGAGGAGCCCCACACACTGCACAAAGAGGAGGATGAGGAAGATGTGGAGGTGGAGAAGAAAGACTCAGACGAGGAGCCCATGGAGATGGTGCTGGAGAAACAAGATGAAGTGGAGGACGCCAAGAATGTCAATCAGATTCTCACAAAGATTGTTAAAGCCACAATGGCAGAGGACCTCAAACCCATGGACACAGATAAAGAGAGCTTAACCGAGTCCAAGTCTCCAGAGATGTCTGTTCAGGAAGACTCAGGCAGTGATGTTGCACCCATGCAGACAGATGAGCAGCTTAATAAAGAAGTGTTTGTACCAGGACCCGATGAGAAACCTCTGTTTACGGCTGAGGCACTCACGCTGGAGGACCTGACTTTGCTGGCAGAACTTTTCTACCTTCCCTATGAACATGGTCCCAAGGCAGTGCAGATGCTCAAAGAGTTCAACTGGCTTAGAGCAAACAGCAGCATCGTCAGTGTAAATTCCAAATGCAAGGAACCGGAGAAGGTCAGTGGTGTAGCCAAAACAATTCTATAAAAGTGAAAAGGCATTCATTAGTTTCACGTAACATACCTTTAGTCTTTGCCCTCTCTGTTCTGCAGTATGTAGCATCATACATGATGTATAACATTATTCATATACTTGCTCCTCTTGATGAGTAAGACTTAAGGACATTTATTGAGCCCAACAACTTTTAATTCACTGAATAAAAAGTCTTGAACAATTGACAATGCATTTAATTAAAGTACATATATAGCAGTAATAGGCATTAATATAAGTAAACTGGAAAAAATGAAAAAAGGAATGTGAAAATTGTGAGATGCAATACGATGCAAAATATAATCAAATCATGTTTTGAGGCACAAGGTTTAGAACTTTGATTATTTGGGAACTTCAAGTTAAGATGCTGTTCTCTGGCACACAAGTGGTCTGGAGAAAAATCCGCACTTCTGTCTGTCCCTGTGCTGCCATATTCCACAACCCTTATATTCAGTGCACCTATAATCAGCCAACAGATTTTGCCCTTGCTGTCACACACATCAACCCAGACATAGACCCTAAACAGTTACTGTTAATGTTGCAATACTGTCAAAATTACAAAGGGGATGTATTAGTGCAGCTTTTTGGCGATATAATACAGCATTTAGAAAGAGTAAGTGCAAGTGTAATATGTGTTTTTTGTGTTTTTATAATGGTTAATGAGATTCTACATCTGTGTTGATACACTTTTAATTTGTTATTCTGTAAGTGTATTCAGAATGACAGATACTGATATTTTAGGTAACACTAAAGTTAAAAGAGGAATGAAATAAAATTAAAACTTGACAGAGAAAAGATTTGAAATGTGACAGATGATCACATTTTCAAGTATATCATTGTAATGTAACTCCCTGTCTTCAAGCCCTGGTTCTGAAGTACCTCTGCCCTGCATATTTTGGCATTTTCCCTGCTCTCAACATACCTGATCCAGCCAGTCGACTGTTTAAAAGCCCTTCCTGAGTTGCAGTGTGTGTGTTAGAGCAGAGTAAACAATAAATATGCATGGGCACATTTATTATGTATCTGAAGAGTGGTTTTATGTATTTATTTTTTTTTCAAATTTTTTTACCAGGTTGACTTTCAAGGTGTTTTATTTAAAGTGAAACTGAAGTGTCTTGGAAAGTAGCCTGTCTTTTTCTTTTTTTAATTGGTTATATAAAACCTCTTCAGTAATACTGTAATCATGTACTACTGGAAAATAAGGCCCTCTTCATCCTTCGGCATCAAATTGATCTAACTGCAATGTTCTGCAGAGAAATTTAAAGGACCACTGTACATTATGAACAGTTTTTACTCCTGGGGTCAAGAGTGTCGATTCACAAGCTGTATTTAAAGTGTATTGTGTTGCTGTATTGGAACAGCAAAGATGGCAATGGATTCTCATGAGGGGCAATGCTAAGGGGTTGTCAAGGAGGGCATGTTAAATCAAGTAATGAAATAGAGCCAAAGAGGAGTGACTGTGGTGCATCAAAATGGAGGAAATGCAGTCTCTTTTCTTACCACTTGGTGGTGCTTTTAAAGCAAGAAAAGGAGTTTTATTGGTGGGAGAGTCTGCTTATTTACAGCTTCTGTACCTCATTATGAAATATTTGATCTGCAGTAATATAATGTGTTTGTATCTCTGTCAGGTGACTGAATGGCACTCCAGAGCTGAGAATTTTGAGAAGATGTGTTGCTCCGTCATGCAGATGTTCACCAGGCTCTCCAACTCTGCCAACAGGACCATTCTGTATGACCTGTATCCCTATATCTGGGATATAAAGAGTATCATCTCAATGATCAAATCATTTGTTCAGTGGTTAGGTAGGTATGGCTCTGCTCTTCACAGCTGCATTTCAGGGTTTTTATTTATTTGTTTTTTGTTTTACACCCATTAAATACACGCTCAGATACATTCTAAAGGTCTAGTGGGGCATTAATTTTCCTACAAAAAAAATAAAATAAAATAAATTTAGGCTTACAGTTACATATTATGGGTATTGGTTTATCAAGCATGTTATAGATCTTTTCTGCTCTGATAGCAACATCTGTAAGAATTCCAGCCCCCACCCTGCATTTTTCAACAGATGGCAAAGCATATTTTTAGACTTGATAGGGTAAATTATCACTTCTCACTTTACGCCTGTTCATAGGACAAAAATATATCCAATCTAGTCTCACACATTATATAAGCTTGCACATGCCTCTCTTTCTTAATTTTGGCTATTTACAGAAGCAAAGACAGGTTTATTTCATTGCTTCACTTTTTTTTGTTTGTTTTTTTTTGTTTTTGTTTTTTTTTGTTTTGTGTTTGTGTAAATATTGTTCTCCTCCACTGACTGAATGCTGTCTTCATTGCTAGGCAGTTCACCATCTCTTTGTGAGTATAATGAAGTCAACTGAAAAAACGGTGAACCTCAGTGGGCCTACCTAAATAAATATAAGGAATATGTTGTAATTGGCAGACTGTGGTTTGAGGAGCCAGTGTGAGTCCTGCTGCTTGCTGTGTGTCCAGTATCATTGTGCGTTAACTCAGCAACACCTGCTGCCATCTCTCTCGATCAAGGGCCTGATCGTGAAGGAAAGTTGATCCCTTACGCCCTAGCGCGCCGCGCATGCGAGCTTGGAAAGCGAGGCGGCTGTGTAAGGCTATTCTGGTGCATTATGAGACACTTTACTTAAGTGTACCTGAAGTCAGTGATAAGTTATCAGAGCTTGATGAATTTGGTTTCTCATACCCTTTCTAGCACATTTGCTAGTTGAACAAATTAATATGTAGTCTCCAAACAAAACATGAATGGATGCTTTACTCTAACTGTACTGATCTGGGATTTCTTAATGAACATGTATTATGTCCACGCTCATCTTGGCAAATAACACAAGTAATTTTGTGTGTAATATGCACTTAATATCCAAAGTGGTATGGGTGAAAGAATAAAGCTTGTACCCTTCAACGCTTGGTTTATATAAAAAAAATAACTTGTACTACATCTGTCCAAGCCATTTGTGAAGCGTGTTCACTTTTTAGTGACTAAAGCTTCCATCCAGGAATGTTTTTCCCCTTTTCACTATAATTTTCATTAGTTCTATCACTTACAGTCATTACTGCTGCACAGTTAGAGTACTGCATTCTGTTCTAAATGCAGTGTTTGTTAGAAGTTGATTGAGTAATTATAGCACCAGCATGGCCTGGGTTACCTTGGTAACCACATTTCATTCACAGGTTTCTGTCCAGCTATATGACAAAGCAACACAGCAGGCAGCAACCAAATCTGGTCAAGCCACATCTCAATCTTAGCACACAATTAAGTGGTGAAAAAAAAAAAAACAGAATATGCTGAAGATCTGAAGATGTCTCTATTCTGAGACATTTAATACATAACGATTTTTTTCTGAACAAAAGCATCAGTAACGTAAGAGCTTGTGTCAAAGAGAGGTATCAGATTGCACCACAGGAAACCCTGCTTCAATGAGACTGTGTGTGGTGTAAAAGATTGTGCCCCCTCTGTGTGCCTCTCAGCCTCTGTGTCTGCACAGCCAGGCGAATGCAGCACATCTGAATTCCCGGCTTATCCAGCTCCTTGGTCCAAAGCAGTGCAGATGGCAGTCAGTCAGCGCCTCACTGCTGTTGTGCTGAAATTACTTACTAACAAGCTCTTCTATTGTCTTCTCCCTTCATTATGTACAGATGGAAGAATCCTCAGCACAAGTTTCTACTGCTATTGGATCGACAGTGGCCGATGTATGCACAGTGCTCGCGATATCAATTTTCTGTTGGGGGGCGGGGTTATTTGATTTCTTGTTTTTTATTATTATGATTTTTGGGGTTTATTGTTTATGTATCAAATATTAAGCATTGCATATGTTTGGAAAGGAAGGGATTCTGATGAAGTCACATTTGCGCAGCGATAGCTGAAGATATAAGTGTTAACCCCAGGTTCTTTTTTCTGGCAGCTCTAACGTGGTTTTTGTTTCTATCAATAGGCCTATTTGAGATGGCTCCGACCAGCCATAAAGCACCACCTTAAGGGAAACATCGTAGATTGTCGCTGTCTTTGGCTTTACATGCTTAAAATAGTAATCTAAAGTTGCATTTCTTAGTATACTTTATGTACATAAAGAGCAGTGGTTTGTGAATTCCCTTCAGATGGTGCACATGTGTGCTGTGTCCTGCCATCACAGGATGTGCGCATAGGTATCTTGTTTGAAATCCAGTGAAAACAGGAGCATTATAACTCCTGTCTCTGCGCTACATTTGTCTTGTTACATGACTTTGAGTTCTAGTGACCCTTTAAGGCCATTTAAATAGTTATTACATGCGTTGCTTTGTCATGGGACACTTCCTGTTTGATCAAACCTGTAGAAGAGCTAACTAAAAGTTTGAAAGTTAAGGTTCAGGTGTAATACTCTTCTAAATAAAAGGGGCTCTCTCATTCAGCAGTTATTTCGCTCTTAAAAAGGGTATGCCCTGTACAGCCTAGGCTCTGCATCTAAATCTCTTGGGCTGATGAACAGTGCTCGTTAGTCATGTGACAAGGCAGATAGATGTAAATGTGACTTCAGATGAGGTGTGCAACTCAGAGGGTCTTCAACAGCTGAAGCTTAATTAACTACCAGCAAGTCAGTAATGCAGAACCAACAAAATCTGTAAACAGAGTGCCATTAATTCAAGAGGGGCAGCTTATTATGCAGCTCACCATTTTACAAGAAGTTCCACTTCTTGCATTAAATAACAAATTGTTTTGCCAAACTAACAACGGCCTAGTATGTAATCATGAACCACAATCACTTGTCTTAACAACCAGTGATTTTAGGGACCATCCTACAGCACAATCATATTTTAAGTAAATTGGACTTATATATTCTGTTCACACCAGAGATTGCCATCTTTCAATCTAAGCTTTAGCTGCTTGAGCCCAAGAGACAGATTTAAAGCATTGCACGTTTGTTCATATTCAGATATATTCTATAATTCTAGTGCGCAATATTGGCTTTTCTTTTTCAATGGAGTGAATTGGAAATAGACATCACTACCCCATACCCCCTTCCTCCTCATTTTGGAAGAAAGCCCCTCACGTAATGTTTTCCGCTTGGATCTGATCTCAACAGGGTGTCGTAGTCAGTCCTCAGCACAGTTCTTAAGTGGAGACCAAGAGCCCTCGGCCTTTAGGGGCGGTCTAGCGGGAGAGTTCCAGGTATCCAATATTGAATTCACAGCAAAGTCTTAAAATGAAGTTGTAATTTTTTTTGTTGTTGTTATATGTCTCTGGCGTGGTTGCGCAATGCTAAGGGTTGGTCTGTTTAAGGTGAGCTGATTGCCATAGCAAATAGATGATGGGTTTATAGCCTCTCGTGCACTATCAGCAGATATTTATGCTAAATTGCAATATGAAAAGGGTCTCATGACTGCCGTCAAAGCCAGAGTTTGGGATGATGGTGTTTTCTGACACAGTCTAAATTTGGGTTTCTTTCAGCAACTGCCCAAAAGAGATGTGGCTTTTCCCCAAGCGCTTGCGACTGCGCAGCATGGCTAGGGTTTATTTTCATGACACCTTATTCCTTTGCAGGAAACTCAAAATTATCCCCCTGCGCCTGCATCTGCACTGCTGCGCTCACGTGTGCGCCTGCGTGTTCGCCTGCTGAAAGCTCCATGAACAAATCATCTATTTAAATAATTAATAAATTCTAAATATCCGTTAACCATTAGTGGTTATATGTATGTACAATTACACACGGAATACAAAAGAGTTTTAATATCATTTGGTCATGGAGTTTTGTTTAATGTGTGTGTCAGCATCATTCCTTTTCTCTACAGGAAATGCGCAGCGAAAACTTGCGATGCCTTGCAGTGGGAAAGGGGCATCTCCTTTAGCCAGTTAAGCCTTTCTCAGACCAAGCCTGCAGCCAGATATTTCCCTCTTCTGTTTGGTTTTGGTTTCTTTCAAAACAAAAAAGAAGCAAAATGCACAAAAAAGGGATTTTACATATTTGTGCAGTTTTCCTGCTCTTGCTGATTACTGACCAACCAAAAGAGCCAATAAAGCCTCTTTGTAAAGTGTTTACTCTTATGCCAGTATTTGGTTAAACACTTGGCTCAAGTGTCATGTTGGTTCAGCAGGAGCAGAGGAACTCATAAGTGTAAATCTGAATGAAGAGCTGCTCAGTCGGGTGCCTAAAGCTGGGAAAGTATTGAATGTTTTTGCTTTGGTCTCCACAGCGACTGTTGCCAATAGATGGGGCAAATGATCTTTTCTACCAGCCACCACCTTCAATGCCAACTTCCAAAATCTATTCCATAAGGCCTTACTTTACTGAAGATGAGGTGAGTATAACGTCTGTGTTTGTCTCTGACTATCTGTGATTTCCACTGTGGCACTACATTATGTATAAATATATATTTTATATTTAATTTCAGGACATGCCATTTGAGTATTCATCTCACTAATTATGCAAGGAAAAAGATTGCAAGTTAGATATTAAAGTAAATGTCCTGCATTATAACACAGGACTAAACAAAGTGCCGAATTTTACATCTTCTGAATGTTTTGTTGGTGAGACCTTCAGAATATTGTAAATTGCTCTGTGGGTAGGTTACCTCGGGAGTTGTTAAAAGTTGTTGAAGCCGCTAGTATTCCCAGCTGAAGTGTCCCAGTTTAAGCGAGGTTTTGAGGTTAATTTGCAGAGCTACTGATCCAATCTGCCAAATCAGCAGTCTGGCCCACCTGTTAGCCCTCAGATGGCTGCCATGATCTGGACTGAGAGCTGTCAAGAGTCCTTACAACACTGCATTTTCTCTTTCTGCCTTGTGTGCTCGCATGTACATGAATGTGAATTATAGGCTGCTGTCTACAAGATCTGCAAGGAGATATACACAGAGGGATGTGATGAGATTCCTTTCTCTGACCAAGAACCAGACCTGATTGGAGACAGGTATCACAAGATATTCATTTATTTATGTCATCTCTTTATATAGTTTGATAATCATGTTCTTTGGTAATAACGGAACTAATCGTCCAGCATCAATACATGATCTCACTAATGCTCTAGTGGCCGAATGCCACCAAATTCTCATAGCAATGTTCCAACATCCTGTATGAGTTCTGCAGTGCCTTATGTACACTGTTTCTCCTGCAGGTTAGTAGGAGGGTTTCTGACGCTCAGCCCAGACTATGGCTTTGTCTTAGAGGATGAGGAGGGAATCTGTGGCTATGCCCTGGGCACTGTGGATGTCAAACCCTTTGTGAAGAAATGCAAGATGAGCTGGATTCCATTCATGCAGGAAAAGTATAACAAACCTGACTCAGGAAAGGACCTGTCTGAGGCAGAGGCAAGATATGCTCCTCCGGATTCACATCTCCCACATTCATCCCCTCATCTCAAATGCACAACAGTCTGACCAGGTCATTTCTGTCTTTTTCCTGCAGAAAATGATGCTAAGCTTCCATGAGGAAGAGGAGGGTTTGCCAGAATCGTTCCTCAGGAATTTCCCCTCCCTCATAAAGGTGGACATTCATACAAAAGTCACTGACCCTAGTGTAGCCAAAAGCATGATGGGATGTCTCCTCTCATCACTGAAAGCCAGTGGTAGGTGTTGTTGTCTTTTTGTCTGAAGACGTTCGCACACTGAGTACAGTTTATTCATGCAATTTATGAAGTCATTAAAATTAAGTAAAACATGTTTATAAATGATATATTGCACATCAAACGTTATTTTAAGGATGTAGCAAAAATGGTAAAATATACTCAGCCGAACAATCACAGTTGAGTTTCACCTCCACATCTGAGCTGTGTAAAAGCACAGCTTTAAAAAAAAAATTGTGTTGCATCCACTGTGTGTAGTTTAATGTGAACAATTTGTCTGAATACTTTTGCATTCCCTTGTCATTTTGCATCGTGTTCAGCAAAATTTGGTTATAAGTTCTCAGAGCAGTAAGTAGCCCACAGTCACCATTAACCTGGAGATTGCCTCATTCTGAAAATAATTTTACCCCATTTAAAGAAGAAAAAGGAAAAAAGACAAATGACTGAACCTTGAACTAGTGAAGTAATACTAAAGTTCTTCAGATCCCTCTGTGTGGTCCTTCCTCTTTCACCACATGTATGTAGTCTACAGGGGAATAGTGGTTTGACATTGCAGTCTTAAATTTCAAATACCTGATACTGTACAGAAAGATAATAGCCTCAAAGCTGCCATAGAAAGTTAAAAGCTACAGTGATCTGTTTGAATGCTTTCATTCTCCTGATCATATCTTCACTACGCTTCCCTAGGCTCCCATGGTGCCTTCTGTGAGGTCCGGCAATTGGACAAACGGATGTTGGACTTTTATGGCAAACTTGGCTGCTTTGAAGTAGCCAAAATGGAGGGCTTTCCAAAAGATGTCATCATAATGGGGAGGAGCTTGTGAAAGGGAGCAATATGGAAGACCTACCCTTGGAAGAACTTGTACAAAGCTACAGTGGTCTGCATAGAGGGCCTAGAGCGTGTCTCACTACCTGTCCAAGTAACAATCAATGACACATTTGTAATTTTTGTTGCACCCATCGAAGGCTGCTGTTGTAGCTTTATTCTTCAAAGTGTGCTCTTCAGAAACTGCTGAAAGCACATGCATAATTTAAGGTGCTTCTCATAGTTACTGTGCTTTGCCAATCAGAGGTGGCGTGTGAGAGAATGTGAGTGCTTGTATTGCCTTTTCAACAAGACCCTCCTCTGGTCTGCAAGACAGCTTGAGCTGGCCAGGTGCCATTTAGCCCATCACACCTCTCAAGTGCAGTTGGTCGGCAGTCTGCTTATATTCAGTCCGCTGCAGGTTCCAGTGAGGGCATTTAGGCCCAACACGATCAATAGCCTAAAGATACCATTACATAATTAGAAAAAATAAGTTTCCGCATATGTTTTGCCTCCCATGCTTTGTTGCCACTTCAGCAGTAATGTGGAAGGTGGCTGTTTTTTTTTTTAGTGGTCTCTTGACTTTTGCAGTTTTCCAGTCACAAACTGTTAAAGCATTAGTGAACAAACTAGCTAAACAGATAGATAGGGTGTGTCTGTGTTTTTAAAGAAAGAATTCATTGTGTGGATTGTTGGCTAAAAAATCCATACAGAGAACCTGGAGTTAGTAGAGATAAATTTGGAACCAAAAGTGGAGACCCTTGTCCATAAAAACTGCATGGATATTACTTTTGTGCATAAGCTAGTAGCATGTGTATCTTGATGATACATTTGTGTTTTGTACAGCGATGCCTTTCGGTCTGTTGCCTTCCTCAGTGTATTGCAGAGGTTTTGTCCTCTTATCCCCCTCCCAGCCACACCCCCAGCCCCCCACCCAGCCCCCCCACCCCCGAGACGATTTCTTCAGACCACATTGCTGTGGTCTGAGGTCATGCCTGTTATATGTTCTTGAGCCTAAACAAGATTAGATGACCATTCATAAATATAAGTATTTGACTAAAGACGTTTTAAACATGTTCAAAAGGTGAGGAGTTGTGATAAACCACCAGTCACCAGAGTTTTGTGAGGACAGCTGACTGTGGTGGAATTTCACAGTGACATTCAGTGAAACTGATTGGAGTGAGGTTTGAGTGAGTGCAGTAAATCCTGCATCTGTAGTTATTTGATTGACTAGAAGAAATGTATGTATGGTTGTGTTTGAAACATGCTATTCTTTCTCAAACATGACACAGTTCATTCCAGTCCTGTGGTGCAACATGTCCATGCGATACTGTTGCTTGGAAACCAAGGTGAGGTGGTGAAAGTCAGAGCCTAAGGTGTCAAGACAGTAAGGCAGTATTTGACTAGAAAATGCTCTCAGGCTTTGTTGAGATGGGCGGTAAATTTTGTTTCATTTTTGATGTTTTTCTCTAAGGTTTAAGTAGTTACGACTCATCTTCATTTTTAAAATTTTGATCTAAATCAAATCCATACATTTAGCAGTCTGCTTGTCTAAATACAGTTACAATAAGGTAAAGAAGGAAAACAATCTGCCTACTTTCAAACCTTCGTCTTTCTTCATATTTTGGCGCTATGTAGTATTCGGGCACAAAAACACTCACTTACTTACAGCCTGCCTCCCAAATAAGTTCCCCTTCTCATAAAAGGCCTTTAGTCTCAAGTAACTGCTATGAGAGAAATGCATATAGTTCTGAGCATTTGTTAGTTTTTTGTTTTTTTTTCTCAAGTCACTTTTACAAGTTCTCCTTCGATCCTCCTGTGGGGAGCATGACCTTGCATGGCCATTATTTCACATGGCTTTCATTTCACCATGCTCTGCTCTTTTGTTCTGGAAGTTGAAGTCAAATTCAAAAGGAAAGGGCTTCATTTTGTGAGGTTCTAATTACATTTAAGACATTGAATACATTTCAGTACTTTGGGTTGTAATTATGATTATGTATGTAATGTAGTTATACTTTCTGTAAGGTTTTTATGTAAGATGGTTAATTATAATAAAGTATGGTAAATATTTTTTTGTTGCAGTTTTTCTTCTGTTCTATAAAATTGGCCAAACCACTGTTTCTTTAGTGTCCATCAACTTGACAAATACTGCTTTACTATTACTAATTCCAATTCAAACGGTACCATTACTAAGTCAGGGGCAAATGAGATAAGCATGATTGTCTTTGGTTTTCATTTTTCTCCTGCAGAGATCTTAAGTTCTTGACTGATTTGTCAAACATTTAAACATATAGCTCCACCCCTTTCTCCTCTTAGATTGTAGTTACGGTGAGGTGTTATGTTGGTCAAAGCTACACACTTAACAGACTTCTGGCAGCACTTAACTGTCATCACATTGTTGCATGCTGAACTTTTTGGGCCGATCAGGCATTTTAGCCAGAAATTATGTAATATATATTAAGTCAGAACTCATATAATTTAAACTACATAGAATAGTTTTTCAGAGGTTAAGGTTGTTGAATCTAGTGTTTTCTTACTTAACAGCACCATCATTCAGCAGTGAAAAGTATCAAACACCATGTTTATAAAGACATTTTTAATTTAATTGTTCAAATTTTAAAATTGGAAATAAATAGGACATTCCAGTGTCCTCACTTTCACAAGACAGAATACTTCTTTCCTTAATTAATCTTCATAATTCGGTGATGTATGTTTTGCATTTCTGAATAACCATTATAAAAGGTTTATTACATCTATAAAATACCTTTGTATGATCTACTCAAAGGAGCATAAAATACGCACCATAACTAAACATAAAACTAACATACATTACACACCATGACTTAAACCATAACTAGAAATGAACAAAATTCACCCTAGTGCTGTAGTTACAGAGTTCTCAAATGTAGGTCATAAAAGCTATTTCTAACAGGAAATGATCCTTAAGGGGGAATTCCACCGATTTCTCAAATTGTTGAGACGTAAACAAAGCCACTCAAAGAGTGGTTCGAAATGAAGTGGCCCAGAGAAACGTACCAGTTTCTGTACAGTGGTTGTGATAGGAACGAGGGGTCACAATATCTACAATGCGAATATAAACTTTTGCTACCCGTGTCTTCTGAGTTTTAAAATGTAATGTTGATGATGGTGAAATAGTGATAAAGCTGAAACAATACGTTTTCCTTGGGTACTGTTTTAGAGGCATAAAACATTTCAACTGTCTGTTTCCTATCACCACTGCTGTAAGAAATTCTTTGTTTCTCTACAAGATTTCATATCAAACCACCCTGAGTAACTTTGTTTACATCTCAATGATTTAATTAAGGGGAAAATTTGAAAAATCAGTGGAATTGTCCTTTAATGATTTAATAGAGACAACTTGCACCCCAGTTGTTGCATATTTTTCGTAGTCTTTATTTTATTTGTGACCAGCAATGGTTTGACTGTTGTTTGGTCTTTAAACTTCAAAGAGGTTCAAAGACAATAGAATCTTCTGTTCTTCGTTATTTTTATAGGCAGTTTCTAAAGATAAATTAAACTTTCAACGTAACTTCAACTGGCAATAATTTTGCACCCATTCTTTTGGCTTACAATAAAACCGTCTTTTAGGGAAAAAAGGATAAGCATTCCCTCAATCTGATTATTAGGTGATTTATATGTGATTTATTTTACAATAATTTTACTATTTTTACTGTATTCTATTTTTCCTGCTTTATGTAGGATATTAAGCGACACCCTGATGCCTAATGAATCACTAAAGTACACGTATATTTGACAGTCATTAGAAGAGAATTAGAAGAAAAAAAATTTAATGAAGAAAGTAAATACTGAAATATTTAACGTTTTATTCCGTAGCATCCTTTTTCTGGAAATTCTTTCTGAATTCTGACCTAAGACGGCGATTTGTTGAGATCCATGATGCGATTCCAGGGCAAAATAAAAGTCATTCAACGGTAAAGGCTCAAAATAAAATGAAAAAAGGGAAAACAAAGATATAACCCTACAGTGGAACCAAACAAACATATCACTATTATAAAAAGTAAAAACTAAAAAATCACCCGATGTGAAGTTTTGTGTTGATGATGTCATAACTCCTGCGCCGTGTTGAGTGTAACTCGTCACATGTTTTGAAGACGCTGTCTGTGCTGTGCGTCATTTAGGCTCTGGATTGTACTGAACACTGAATACTGAAAAAATTATGTCGTTTTTAGAGGACGAATCATCCGACGACGGAACCGGGGCACGTTCACAACTGGAAAGCTATGTTTTTAGTAAGCTGCGTTTCCTTTGTTTGCATGTAGTGTTTCCGAAACGTTAGCCTCCTGGCTAACACACGTGGACCCCTGCAGCCGCTGTAGCGCTTCAAGCATCTGGCTGAAATAATGTAGCTACACACTGGGCTTTAAAACCATATTCATAAACATTCATAAACAAAACAGTTCTATATAGAACCATTTCATGCTTAAATGCTTCTTGTAAGTTACAACACATTCTCCATCAATCTGAAGAACCGTGTCACCATGCAAAGAACCATTTAAGCATGGAATGTTTCTTTATAGAACTCATGGTTCTAAACAGAAACATTCCCTTTCCTAAAGAACCCTTGAAAAAACATATATATTTTTTTTAGAAGAGTTGTGTTCTATTAAGCACAACTAGTAAAACTTCAGTTTATTGGTGCATTTATTAATCTAATAAATGTAGATGAATGGAAGATGCAGCTTTATGATACACTGAATCTGTATTCTGTTGTTTGCATCCTGAAGGCTGTGAATTATCTTCCGAAGTACCCTTCTACACTTTTCAAGGGGATGAGGAGGAGAATTTGGAGCATTTTCTCGAACTCCGAACAGTGCGTAGAAGCTTGGCTTTTTGAGATTTGAGGTAAGGACTGAAGTACAGATGTTCTAAAGCATCGATCCTCCTTCTCTCTCCACCTGCAGATCTGCCTCGGCGAGGGAGCCAAAGAGGAGAACAATGTGGTGGAAGTGACTGCTATGAACCATCAAGGAAAGAAAATAGCCGTGCCTGTAGCAAATCTTCACATATCCTGTCTTCCAATGGTAATATATTTTGGACTGGTTTACACAGGTTTACTATTTCACAAACAATCCAAAAACATTGTCTCTTCTCTGATCTGATCTAAGAAGTAAGACTCCTTTAAGGACCCCTGCTGGTGTCGTCCCTTCTGAAGAGAAATAGTGCAGGCCTTACTGCTTACTAAGGCGTGAAAACAGGATCCTACTGCATGCCCACATCTTAGTCATGGCCATAAGTAAGGTGTGAGAATGAGATAAATGAGTGGTTCCCATGCCTTACTAAGTCATGGCCACAGCTTAACTGTCTAAACTGAAGTACCTTGTTCCTGTGCCTTATTAAGTTGTGGTCCCAGTTTAACTATTTAAACTGAGTTATCTTGTTCCCACATTTTACCAAGTTGTGGCCACTCATTTTCACTCCTTAATAATGTTGCATTTACACTGCTCTGGCACATCAGCATGCTGTGACATATCCCCTTCTTTTTCAATGGGAAGCTTTGGTTCCATCAGATGCAGCCACGCGGTGCATGATGAGTTCAGTGGGTGTGGGATCCAAAAAAAAATTGAGCAACTTTATGCAAATGAGTTTGGCTAACACAAGGCATCTACCCAGTAAGGAAGCAGCTGGTGTTTGTGTGATTCAAGTCTGCAGCTCAAAGAATGAAACATTGGTTCTGTTTTTTAAACATTCCAGCACGACACAAATGACCAGTGGTGAAAAAGCCAATATGTTTAAATACAAAACTTAAAATCCAAGCAGGAAAACGTTCAGTTGGATGAAAATAAACCAAAAAGACTGACATTGACTGCAAGTGGTAATCACTGACCTAAATTATAAGCTTTTCAAGTTTAACCTTGTTAACGTTTTGGAAAATATTAGTATAATGATGCATAATACGTTGACTATCTGATTATTCAAAAACAATAGAAGCATTACTTACATAAATATCGACTTAGCAAGATTTCAGTTAGATTTTGCAGGAAACTCCCTCATAATGCCCACATGCTGGAGGAGGAGGATGCATTCACGCCCGTCGATGCACCAGAGCAATGTAAATGCACCGGAGGTCATGGCCACGCATTAACATCACATTCCCATGCCTAAGTAAGTTGTGGCCACACATTATTTTTATTAGAAAGGAATGTCATGAGCGGGGCTCCGTACTGCTCAGCACATTACCAGTCTTGGCCTTTGCACTACGCTGCTCCAAGAAAGGCTGCAGTAAAATGTATCAGACAAGTGATCTAACCACAGATTGAATCATTAAATAAATCTTGAGCAACCTTTTACTTTTGCCTTGTATTAACATGTTTCATGGCTAGATAAACTTTGGCCAGATTCCATTTTCCCTGTTCAAACAAATGTGTCAGTGTGACCAGATGAGATCCGATTTTGCTTTCTTATATTAAAAGACACATGTCCGTTTTACTTCTGGTGACCTACTGTGAACATGGTTTCTCACTTGCTACTGTGATATGTTGTCGAGTGAGAGAGAGGCAGAGAAGGCTTTTTCTTACAGCAGCTGTAATTACTTATGCAATTGTTGTATTTCCATTTACGTAGTTGTTTGCACACAATGTGTTAGAATGTGGTCAAGATCCATCTCATAATCCGATCACAATGCATCATAGGTGTGTTTGTGCTTGTCTTTTCATGTGGTCAGATTAAATTCAAACCTGATCACCGAAAATGCATGCTGCTGCAAGGTGTAAACAGCATCTTAGTGGAGACTGTATTTCCTGTTATTGCAGTACTGACGTCCTAACACTTGGTTTTGTTGTAATGCATTTTTCAGGTAAGCTTGGGGGAATTTGAGTTAATGGCACCTGTGACGCTGCGCCTGAAATCTGGAAGTGGACCAGTGACTGTTAGTGGATTACACCTAGTTGGTGAGTGGGAAGAAAACTCCTCATTTCTTTTGGGTTCTTCAAATGGTGTGAGGAAGACACCAAGTTGACACTCAGTTGTTTTATATCAGTTTCACCCAAGACTGGAATAAATTTAGTAAAAATAATGTGCTGTGATTTAAGTACTTTGACAAAAAAACAAGCACACTTTACATTATTAGCTTACAAAATGTAATATCTCCTGTTCCTCAGCTTCAGAGAACAATGACGAGTCTGAAGCGTCCGATGAAGATGAGGACTCTGAGGAGGAAATGCCCTCTATTAAGCCAGCCAAGAAGAAACAGAAGCTGTAGAATCACAAATTTTATAAAGATTTCAGTACATTTTATAGAACATGATATTCAATAAACTGTTCCACAAGCAGTTACAGTGGACTGCAAAATTTGAAGCTTTTTGCTCTTTTTGCCAATTTTGACAAGTATTGAGTGGAGAATCATGACCAGCTCAAAGTACTTTTTACTTTTGTGATTTCTCATGTGAAAAATGTATATCTAACACCTCACACTTAAGAATTGAGTTCCAAAATGCTATAATTGCCATGTTTTTGTATTTATAATCACCACAAATTATAGTTCTGCTAAATGTTACTATACAAAACATATTCCTGGTCTTATGTGTGCTTTATAAAATGACTCCAGTTCATTGTTTTGGATATTTTGAAAATTGGATGGCCACATATTCTACATTTGTGAAAAGGGACATACAGCATTTTGGAATGAAACTGTTTACTTCATTGTGTTTTTACAATGTACAGTGGTTTTGTTTTGTTTGATAATCTACAGTTAAGGTAAAGGTTCACTGCTTTTGCATATTTTGGATCACTGCTAGGCTTTGTCTGAATAGTTGAATGAAACTTCCTTTCCTTTCAGTTTTCCCAGATTTTGCCTGATCTAGTATCCATGTAGATCCACATGCTTGTCAGGCCTGCCTATATATTTTCTGAGGCAATGGACTACAGATCAGGCAAAATCAAGGAAGATGATAGGACAGAAGTTTCAAGAAGAGTCAAGTTTCAGGAGAAATTTGGACGCAGCCCTGGTCGCCAAGCAAGGTGGAGACATTCCATACATATCACTGTTTTGTAATTACTGATATTACAGGTTTTAACAGAAAATTCAACTTACTGTACGTTTATAGACAGTCAGTCTGTATTTGCCTTAAGGAAGGTCACCAGCAGTGATTTCTGCAGCTGTGTATACGTAATTTTCATTTTTTTGAAAGACTGATACGGTTGTGGTTTTGAATGGAACTTTTTTCCCTTCTTTTACATTTGTAGATTTTATGAATAAACCTCTCACTGTTTAACAAATCTGGTGCAACCCATTACTTTTATCATGCCACGCTTTTCAAAAACACTTGCATTATTAATGAGATAAAATTATGTATTTTAATTCAGTGTTGTTTGACTATTCAAGTGGTCCTACATGTCAAACAGTTTAAAATACATTTAAGCTCTTTTTTTATTTTTTGTCTGGAATTATGTGTCAGTAACATGCACCTGCCAATTTAAGTGCCAGATTTGAAAAAATTGCACTTTCATTGACCAGCCACTTCTTGCAGTGTCACTGCAGTGCTGAGGATGATCCACCACCCAAATGATACCTGCTCTGTGGTGGTCCTGTGGGGGTCCTGACCATTGAAGAACAGGGTAAAAGGGGTCTAACAAATGCAGAGAAACGGATGGACTACGGTCTGTAATTACAGAACTACAAAGTGCACCTATTTGGTAAGTGGAGCTGATATAATGGACAAATAGTGACGAAACAAGGAGGTGTACCTAATGAAGTGGCTGGCTGGTGTATTCTGCATGTAACAGAAAATCGGTGGTTGAGTCATTTTTGTTCAAAGGGGTAAAAATAAAAGGTCTCTGTTCTTATTGAGGCTGATCATCCTAGTCTTGTGGTTCAGCATGATACTTATTTATCTTCCGTCACAGCAATTCTAATTTATTGAAATGACTCAACAACCAACAAAATGGCAAAACAACGTTTAAGATAAATCATAAAGATGAAGACACTCAGCACTCTTACGCTTCTTCCTAACCGAATCTGCGAACAGGGCTATTCGATTCCAGGTGACAGGAATCGATGTAGTCGATTCCATACATTAATCTCGATTCCCACACGACAGAAGACAACGTACAGAAGGACGTTTGGCAAAAACAAAGATTACAGTATTAATTATATTTGACCTTAGAAAGGAAATGTGTATTCAGACAGAGTGTTTACACTCCATGTGCTATCAACGTGAACGTCTCTGTGTGGAATCGAGTTCAAAACTTTGGAGTCGACTCCCAATTCCTGGAATTGAGGAATCGATTCTTTTTCTGGGGGGGGACCGACTCCCAGGCTAACGACCGAATGGGCTCGTGACGTCACCCGCCTTCCCTAGTAACCCGGCTCGGCGTCTCCGCAGGAAAAAACAGCAACATGGTTTGTAATTCAGCCGCTGATCGATTATAAAGCTAACGGAACAGACATTAGTTGCTCCGTCCGCGATGTTTGTTTTATTTGCAGATGGCAAATTAAGGAGATATGTCCATCTTTATGTTTAACGTACAACCTAGCAACCGTGAAAAATGTGATTGTTAGCTAGTTTTAGCGAGCTAACGTTACTGTGCTGGCCAGCTAACGGATAGGCTGTCTAACATAGCTGGCTAGTTCAGCTAACCAGAAAGATAGCTTTAGCACCTATCTAACATTACTATCACATCAGTGTTTTGCTTCTTGACGAGGCTGAAATTGGCCTCTTATTTAGCTTCTCGTTCGAATTCTCCGGTTCCACCTTAAATGGTGCAGTAGTTACATTCTGGCGCGTTGGGCTACCGCTGTAACTGTTGCACCATTTAAGGTGGAACGGGAAAATGCGAATAAAACGCCTGCTTCAACTTCGTCGCTACTTGTCGGATACTGTATGATTAGGTAACAATACTGTGGGACAGACTGCATGTAGAAGGTCTGTTACCGCAACCTAAAGCAGGTCTGTAGCCACAAATGAAAATACTGCTAGCTAGCAGGCTCCTATACTGGGCCTGCTCAGACTTTAGTTTAACGCATGAGAGTTACTGTCGTTCGAAAGTTTAGAGTCATACATTAAATGATACGAATAAGATGCCTTTACTATGCATTTTCATTAGGTTTAAATCATTTGTAGGGAACTGGAAACACGTCCTCTCTTAAAAAAGATGGTTCTTTAAGGATTCTTTAGTAAAAGGAATGGTTCTGTTTAGAACTATGAGTTCATTTTGGAAAGGTTTTCTTAGAACCTTTTCGAAAATTGTTCTACATAGCACCAAAAAGGTTATAGAACCCTTTTCAAAAAAGTTCTGTACGGAACCATATACAACACATTCTCCATCAATCTGAAGAACAATTTCACCATGAAAAGAACCATTTAAGCATGGAATGGTTCTATGTAGAACTTATGTTTCTAAACAGAACCATCTCCTTTACTAAAGAACCATTGAATAACCATCTTTTTTACAAGTATAGACGATATAGATATAGATACAGATAATGTCTCAGAAAGCTGTCACACTTGTGGTTAACTTGTAAATTGTCTTGCAGATAAAATATGTAGATGAGGGGCCTGTGTTGCTTAATTAGGGCAAGAGAAAAGGAGCTTACAGATGAGAAAAGAAGTGTTTTTCTCACTCTTTTAATGAAGATTAGTCTATGACAGAAAATGCAAGAAAAAAAGACTGCATTTCTTTTAAGGGAGTGTAACAAACCATTCAGTGGTTCAAGTAGACTGGCAGTATAATCAGAATCAGTATCACTTCATTTAGCCAAGTATGTTACACATACATACATCTGTTTTGGTGAGTGCACACATGTATGACACGTAACATACTGAACAGACCAGACAAGCACAGACTATTAGAAGATACTTAACTAAAGGACAAATAAAATAGAAAAAAACACAAAAAAATAGAATAAAGGAGCTAAAGAGATCTGTGAATATTCATATAAATATATGCAGGTCTGAGTAGACATACTATAACACCTATTATATACAGAATATTACAAAATGATATGAACATCTGTGAAAATACAATAACATTTGTACAGTTGTACAAATAAGCTTTATGTTATAGGAGTTATACTGTAATACAGTCTACTGTAAAAAGATCAAGAAGACCTTGAGTAACAACCTATTCAGAAGATATGAGATTAACACTCATTTCTACAAGAAATCGAAGGTTTACAGCACCTAAAAGAGACAGAGACATTTCTGTTTCAGTGTAACGACTGTGGAACATCACCTTAAACAAGAGGAATTATATGCTCATGTATCTAAAAAAAACTTTAGTGAAACCTCAAAGAAAAGGCTTTAAAGAAAAAGTCTGGCTGGACTAGATATAAATTACTGTAGGTGTTACTCCTCAGCTGGAAAGAGGTCAGTTATGCTTTGTGGTTAGAAAAGAAACTCCTAGTTCAATTCGAGAGAGTGTTGAACTTTTAGGAAAGTTTTTTTTCCCTTTCTTGGTCTGTTGTCTTCTTCTTATATGCAGAAAGCTTTTAAATAACCCACAAATAAGCCCACATGAGCATTATAACCTTAGGCCTAAAATACAAATTGCAACCTCCTCATTCACTTTATTATACTTTACTTTCAATCAAATTTGAACTGATCGAAAAGTGGCATGTGTGGTAATTCAGCTTTGATTCTTGACTGAAGCCTGAGAGAGCAGGGTGGTGTTTCACAAAGCAGGATTTCTCAGACTAGCCACATAACTTAAGCTCAAAGCCATGCCTGTGTAATAGGAAAAGAGCTTAGGACAGTCTTTAACTGTGGGCTTAAGTTATCTGGCTAACCAACACATGTCGCTTTGTGAAATACCATTCTGCTTTTAGTCAAGGAAAATAGCCAGGGTAAAGCAAATGCTATGTTGGGAAGTCTGTTCTGTCACTTTCCCCTTGCTTTTTGAAGTCTGTCCTGTTCTAGACAGTGATGTGATTGAGCCTTTGTGCTGCAGGGTTTGTTATCAATCCTTCGGAAATTGAAGAGCGCCCCAGACCAGGAGGTGCGCATCCTGCTTTTGGGCCTTGACAATGGAGGAAAGACAACACTACTCAAGCAGCTGGCTTCTGAGGACATCAGTCACATCACCCCTACACAGGTACACCTGTTTTAAAGATTTAACAAGGATGCCAGAGCAAGGTCATGCGTGTGGAATTGAAGGCAAGCAGCCTTGTTCCATGCCCTGCACACAATTCTGTTTCCTGTGCTCTGACACCTCTGCTACTAGACGATAGGTAATTCTGAAACCCTTTATGGGCTAAAAACCACTGTGATAGGTGAGAGAGCTGCTTTAATCAATGTCCATCTATATGCATACAATAGAAGTCAAAATTAATTCTTATTATAAAATGGCAAATTTATGTAGCATTGAATTAGGGGTGGGCAACATGACCATATTTTATTGTGTAGTGATCAGCTACACCACATTTATAACATACTTAAAGAACACTGACCAACTGCATGTTTTTTTTTAGAAGGAGGCTATAATTGGTCCATTTTAGTTGGAGCAGTGTGTAAAACATCATTGTACTTAAAACTTTTGATATAAGGGTGGCACTAGTGTTGCATTCTTTCTGTTCCAACTTCTCAAAACTAAGAAAAAACGCAATAATGTGATACACATTTTGAAAAGTATTATGATATTATATTTTTGCCATATTGCCCAGCCGTCCATTCAATGCCTGTACTTCACTGCCATTTTCTTCTTTGATAACTTGAGCCTACATACGTAATGTAACACTCTACCTCTGGTTTGTTCTACTGGTGGAAATGTTTGGCCCCTGCTTTAGATCAAATCAGCATGTTCCTTTTTTTTTCCACCAGGGCTTCAACATTAAGAGTGTGCAGTCCCAGGGCTTCAAGCTGAATGTTTGGGACATAGGAGGCCAGAGGAAGATCAGACCATACTGGAGAAACTACTTTGAAAACACTGACGTGCTCGTAAGTGTTTCCAGTGACACATATACTCAATATACACAATATTTCTATCGTAAATGGAGTTGGCATCAGTAGAATTGCCCTGCAGCTTATGACCATAATGATGATGAATGCTTTAATATGCTCACCTAAACAGTGTGTTGGCATGTTCAGAATGTTCATCATGTCTGTATTTGCCTTTGCTTTATGTTTGTGAATGTTTTATTAAGAGAAGTTGGTTATTTCAGATATACGTCATTGACAGCGCAGATCGGAAAAGGTTTGAAGAAACAGGGCAGGTAAGCATTTTTGTGTGTGTGAGACTGAGAAATAAAGAAGGAACTGCCAGCTATCTGCAAGAAATCCCATAGATCAAGATCCTTCAACACTGCTATGATTCCACTTTCAACACAGTGCTTTTTACACTGCTCTTGTGAATTGTAGAATTACACTTCTTTACATTGTCTCAGTTTTCAGGAGACAGTAAGCAAAAGATGAACAGTGGCATGTGCAGCACAATACAGGACATGTGTATGCATGTAGTAGTAAAGGGAACCATCCTATGGTTTTTCTTCACAGGAGCTGGCCGAGCTGCTGGACGAGGAGAAGCTTAGCGGCGTCCCTGTTCTTATCTTTGCCAACAAGCAAGACCTGCTCACTGCCGCTCCAGCCTCAGAGATCGCAGAGGGCCTCAACCTGCACACTATTCGAGATCGCATGTGGCAGATTCAGTCCTGCTCTGCTCTTACAGGAGAAGGAGTCCAGGTAAGCTCTACCTTGGATTTTGTGGAGGAAAAATACAAATTCTTAATCATTTATTATTATAACACACATCATTAAATGTTCTGTTGCTTTTATACAACAGTTTTGCAAAGTAAAAAAAAAAAAGCAAAGAAGAGCTAAACATCTAAAATGAGTTTAATTTGGGGGATTTCTTCCACCAAAAAAGTAGTTCCAGCAGCTTAGATTATGGCTTGCTTTACTCAGTGAAACTTTCATGCATCTAGTTGTTGTAAGTTGCCTGCAAAATAATTTCTTTGCAATTTACAACAAAACAATTCGAAAATTGCAAGCAACACATTTTATTTTTTCAGTAGTTTGGTAAATTAGCAGCTTGTATTTCTTGGTACACTGTAACATCCGTGAGGTGAAATTTACATAGTTGCAGCATTTTTTATCTTCTTTGTATAATAATTGACTTTTTATTCTGTTCTGTTTAAAAATTATTGTTTAAGTACCCATTACATTTTAGCCTACTTGATGTCTCGCTCATTTTGTAACAGAAAATCATTGAGGAGCGCGTCTCATTCTCTTCTTCTATAATAATTTTCATCCTTTGGATCAAATTAATCTGAGCTCTGTGCAAAATTAATCTAGCTATGTAGATCACAATAACAGCAGGCTAAAACAGATTAAACAGTGGGGCAAGAAGCCATTTAATCAGCTGGAAGTGTTAGCTGGCTAGTTAACGCAGCTGGTTGCAGAAACATTAGCTTTGAGAAACTCAAGTATGTTGTCATGGCTCAGGAAACTCACTACTAACTACTGTCTCCTTTTCAACTGCCAAATAAACCATCTTCTGCTTTATTTTCTTGTTTATTGATCCGATGAACTTGTTTTAAAGTATGTGAGTCAATGTGATCACCTCATGTGTTTGATGGTATTTGGCTGTTTCATGAAACTTGCTTCACAAAATTGAGATGCTTGCGACTGTTGCGACTAAATGTCAGTACGTTGGAGGGCGTTTTGCATTATGCAACTCAAGTGCAGTTTAGTTTCATGTAGGTTTCAAGCAATTATGTTTCACTGTCTAAAGCCAGCCTAAGGCGATCATTGTTACTTACTAATAACAAAGGTGAAACCTTTTTTTAAACCATCAGGTTGTGTAGTCAGAACTCTTGTCTAATCCCAATGTAGCTAGCAGTACTGTTTAAGAACTGACCAATTCTCTGGCTTAGCACTGACCACTGGGGTACTTTTTTCTGTAAATATTACTGACTTGCATTCTGTCTTTTTAGGACGGCATGAACTGGGTCTGCAAGAATGTCACAGCAAAGAAGAAATAGGTACATTTTTACGCTTTCCAGGCATTGTTTGAAAAAGTGAACACTGTGGACTGTGGATTCTTCACCAGCTGGTCCAGGTTATAGGGGAATGAACTCTACTCTGACAGCAGCTGGGGAGGACTAGGACAAGACCTTTAACCCCTGACCCTTGCAAATGGCCACTGCCACTGCACTGCAAGTCCCTGGCTACATTCCCCATGGATCCACCGTGTCCTGTTATCAATTCTACTGTCACTTTACTGTTCCTTTAGCTTAAAACTAACTGACCACTACCCTTAACATCTACATATAACCAAAGTGCTGCAGCTATCAAACCTAACCTAGGCCCAAAACACTAGTGCTAGCCAAGCAGAGGCCCTGCAGCTGCCTGACAAATTCATTTCAAGACTGAGCTTCTTTTCTTTTCCCCCTCTGTATGCGTTCTCTCTGCAAAGGCTTGTTACTTCATGTATTGCAGTTTTATGATGTGCGATCAGCCATGGAAAAATGTGTGGTGGTGCGCATGTGTGTGTGCGTGGTAAGTGTGGAAACTGGGTTTTGTGTCATTACTTGATGTGGAGTGTTTCTGGTACAGAGATTTTTGACTGCATACTAATTTGAGGTGTCAGAGGACACAGACACACACTGTAGAGCCTTTTTTCCATTTCCTGGTTTTTATACGTTACTTCTTTTAGATGTTTGAGAAAAATTTTGATGTTAGGCCACCTTGTTGTGGTGTTTGTTTTTTTTGTTCCCTGTGTAACTTATGCTCCAAAAGAGCATTCAGCTGGCTTGAACTGTAGTGTTATGAAAGCCTGGAAATCAAGTGCACATTCTAATTTGATTAGTGGGAGAGCATCAGGCTAAGACAGTGCATACCTCTGGAAGCACAGCCACCTCCTCTTCCCTTAGGACAGGACGTGAATGGAATTGTTGACAGGTGTGCTGGTAACAGGTTTAGCAGGCTTAAGCATCTGGTTGTGGCAGCGAAGAGGTGCTTTGTATGTGTGAGACTGAATGCTTGCCCCAGGGTGGACTGATCCAACAATGACCAAAGGAGAGGAAAGATCAAGAAAAGGGACTTTTGTGTGAGTGTTTTCATTTGTGTATCTCCTAACATTCCTGGGCATCCAGTACTTCAGAACATGGTGGGGTTTTTGCTGTCAGAACAAAATCTTATATCTGCATTGTGTTTTGTTTATTTTATGTTTTCATAATTCATTATGTTTTCAGCTGCCCTTTATATCATATGAATATTCCAAAATGAATGGACCAATCGAAATGGTCCAAAATCACCTGATGACTTCCATTATAAGTTAACAGTGTTTTTTTTTTCCTTCTCTTGTAAGTTTACCTTAAGTAATATAAGTTTTTGTTCTTAGAGCATCAATATTCTGTTATTGTACTATTTTCAATTGTTTCTCTTTTTTAATTTCTGAATTCTTTTGAAAAACAACCTGAATTAAAGCCAGTGTAATCAAAAATGTTATGATAGATGTGTAATGCCTAGAAAAAAGTTATTTACAACTTTATCTGTTTTTAAAGGAGCTTCTAACATCATATCCAGCATAATAAATGTATTAGAAAGAGAAGAGATACTACTAACGTAATGGACCAACAGCTTACAGCATGGCTTAAGCACCAGGATCTTTTGATGAAACCCATAAGGTTGATACTATAAAATGCAGAATTTGGTCACAAAACAAACTGTCTCTTTAAATATGAACTTGTTTGAAAGGTTTTTTTGTGCGTGTGTCTTGTTTGGTTTTGTTTTTCCATGTTCAAGGATTAAAATGGCACGGCTGTTGAAACATTTGTCAATTTTCTTACGACTGATTCTTTCTCTAAGCAGCCATGCTGAGACTGAGGCTGTAGCTTGGTAAGCTCTCATTTCGTTTGTCTCTGTGGTACATGGTGGGTCATACCAAACCTGGGCTTGCAATAGTTTTAGGAAGGTGTGGGAGGCTGTTAAAATTGAATGCAGCCCACATGCTGAATGTAAAGCAGGCCTGGCATGATAAAGCAGTTTCATAATGATGAATTCACCTATTCTGAATAAGAGACTCTCACATAGTTTGATTTATAGCAGAGAGGCAGTTTAGGGTATTGTTTCAGTTAGTTGGTTCAATCAAACTCATTTCTATTCACATTCTTTTATGCAATACAAGAAGTAGCTACACTCATCCCTTCTTTGATGCACAGTAATGCACAATACCTCATTTAGTACCGCTTCCATTTAGTACCTTTTCCATTTTCCACTGTCTTTTTTATAGACAAAAACACTGCTTTCCTTTCCTTTTAGATTAAAGTTTTAGTTTCTTTCCTGAAACATTTTCTAACATAGTAAGTGAATGGAAGGCCCTTTACTTTCCCCACTCTGGGCCCAGAGTCAAGGGCATAACTGTTAATTTATGATTTGAGGGGTGGAAATGGGATGCTGGTTTGAGCATTGGGGTCAGTCTAGGGTTGGCTGGCAAAATGCTTGGGAGCTGGGCAGATACCAAAACCAATATCATTCAGTATTATAATATTATTAGGCAGACTGTAAAAACGCTAGTTCTGTAGTGGCCAGCATACATACATACTAATAAAGTTAGCCTTAGCTACACAGCTAGATAAGGTTATATTTGCAAACTCTTCATAAAAAGTTGCATCTTCATAATAATTTTGTCATATTAATATGCTTGAACTTGTTACTCACCTAAGGCAAAAGAACTGGAATGTGCATCTTCCTCTTTTGAACATTATGACCACCTCCTTGTTTCTACGCTCATTGTCAATTTTTTTTTTTACTAGTTCTGTAGTTCTACAATTACAGACTGTAGTCCATCTGTTTCTCTGCATACTTTGTCAGCCCCCTTTTACCCTGTTCTTCAGTGGTCAGGACCCCCATGGACCCTCACAGAGCAGGTACTATTTGGGTGGCGGATCATTCTCAGCACTGCAGTAACACTGATGTGGTGGTGTTGTGTTAGTGTGTGTTGCACTGGTCTGAGTGGATCAAACACAGCAGTGCTGCTGGAGTTTTTAAACACCTCAGTGTCACTGCTGGACTGAGAATAGTCCACCAACCAAAAATATTCAGCCAACAGCATCCTGTGGGCAGTGTCCTGTGACCACTGATGAAGGACTAGATGATGACCAACACAAACTGCGCAGCAGCAGATGAGTTATTGTCTCTGACTTTACATCTACAAGGTGGACTGACAAGGTAGGAGTGTCTAATAGAGTGGACAGTGAGTGGACACTGTTTAAAAACTCCAGCAGCACTGCTGTGTCTGATCCACAAATACATGGTTTACCATATGATACAAAAACAATTTAACAAGTAACAATCCAAAATACATCTACTGCTGATTCAGTGTGAAGAGATGACCCTCTGATTTGATTCAGGTGAATTGAGTCTCTGTTTTTTCCTCAGTGTGCTTTGAATACTGTCAAACATGGTTTTCACTTAAAATTATAACATAAAATACTATATTTAGACATATTAGGAGCAACCTATTTTTTACCAGCATAAAATAAAGCATGACATGTTCCACTCATTTCGTGAACATTCTTATTTTGCTTACACTAAAGAACTAGGTGTTTCAGCCACATCCACTGCTGACAAGTGGATAAAATTTAGCAGATTGCCTTGCAATCACTATAGACAAACACTAGCAGTAGAATGGGGTGTACGGATGAGCTCAGTGACTTTAAACATGGTACTGTCATAGGATGCCACCTCTGCCACAAGTCATTTTGTGAAATTTCTGTCCTGGTCAACTGTAAGTGCTGCTGTTGTGAAATGGACGTGTCTAGGAGCAACAACAGCTCAGCCACGAAGTGGTAGATCATGCAAACTTATATGACAGGCCTGCGGAATGCTGAAGTACACAGCGTCTATCCTCTGTGAAATCACTCACTAAAGAGTTCCAAATTGCCTCTTGAAGCAAGATCTGCAAAAGAACTGTGTGTTGGGAGCTTCATGAATGTATTTCAGTGACTAAGCAGCTACACACAAGCCTAAGATCAATATGTACAACTGCCAAGCGTCAACAATGCCACCGCTGGAATCTGGAGCAGTGGAGACTTGTTCTCTGGCAGACTGATGGATGAATCTGGGTTTGATGGACGCCAGGAAAACGTTACCTATCAGAATACATAGTGGCAACAGTAAATTTTGGTGGAGGAGGGATAATGGTCTGGGGATGTTTTCCAGGATTCGGGCTTGGCCCCTCAGTTCCAGTGAAGGGTGATGTTAATGCTACAGCATACAAAATCATTTAAGACAATTTTGTGCTTACAAATTTGTGACAACAGTTTGGGGAAGACCCTTTCCTGTTCCAGCATGACTGTGCCACTGTGCACAAAGTGAGCTCCATAAAGACATGGTTTAATGAATTTGGTGTGGAGGAACTCTGACTCTTAACCAGACCTTCTCGTCCAACATCAGTATCAGTGCCTGACCTCACAAATGCTCTTTTGACTGAAGGGGCACAAATTCCCACAAACACACTCCAAAATGTTGTGGAAAACCTTATCAGAAAAGTGGAGGCTGTTACAGATGCGGGGGTGGGGGGGTGGTAACACCATATTAATCCCCATAGTTTTGGTATAGGGTGTCCAACAAGGTCATATAGGTGCGATGTATAGGTGTCCATATACTTTTGGCCATATAATGGATCTGCACGTTATTACTTAGCAATGTTTAATGAAGAAACATTGTGAATTGCTTTATAAACAGCCTTTGTTCATCTGATTACCACCGCTATGAATTAGCACCAGCTCTGTCCCTATGGAATGTGTAGTGTTGTGGTAGTGCACATTGATATTGCACAGCAGTAGGGCAACATTTGAGGATTTAACAGACAGTCAGGTACATACACTGATCAGGCATAACATTATGACCACCTCCTTGTTTCTACACTCATTGTCCATTTATCAGTTCCACTTACTATATAGGTGCACTTTGTAGTTCTACATTTACAGACTGTAGTCCATCTGTTTCTCTGCATACTTTGTTAGCCCCCTTTTACCCTGTTCTTCAGTGGTCAGGACCCCCATGGACCCTCACAGAGCAGGTACTACTTGGGTACATTCTCAGCACTGCAGTAACACTGATGTGGTGGTGTTGTGTTAGTGTGTGTTGCACTGGTCTGAGTGGATCAGACACAGCAGTGCTGCTGGAGTTTTTAAACACCTTAGTGTCACGGCTGGACTGAGAATAGTCCACCAACCAAAAATATTCAGCCAACAGCATCCTGTGACCACTGATGAAGGACTAGAGGATGACCCACACAAACTGTGCAGCAGCAGATGAGCTATTGTCTCTGACTTTACATCTACAAGGTGGACTGACGAAGTAGGAGTGTCTAATAGAGTGGACAGTGAGTGGACACAGTGTTTAAAAACTCCAGCAGCACTGCTGTGTCTGATCCACTCGTACCAGCACAACACCCACTAACACGTTGCATTTTTTTTTTCATTTGTCCAATTTCATTTTAAATGTTTCGCTCTTGCATCACACTGTTTGCTCTATTTGTAGCCCTGTGTTAAAAAATGGTGTTATTGTCTCATAGGAAGCATGCGCTAGCCTTCACCCGTCTAGCTTGGTAGCTTCGTGTGACAGTGGAGACCTAGCTACCAGATGAAATTAGCAATGACTACTGGGGAGAAAACTGGATAAAAGTCCAAAAATAAATTAACAAATAAAAATACTGAAGTCTCCGTAAGTCTGCATCTAAACAGGACTCTCAGGAAGTTTGGTCCCTCTTGCAGACTAGATAACAAAGGAATTAGTCTATAATTCCGGCGAAGATTTAGACTTATTCACTTTAGATTTAGTGAATAAAGGTTGGCTTCAACTACAAGTGTTACCATAGAGAGAGAACTTCCAAATGAAGACAGATACAGCTCAAGGTTAAATAAACAAACGTTAATCAGCGCTGCCCTTTAAAGGTGCTATTGCATCTGTTAGAAATGTGTTATTTTTGAGAACATTAATTAGATTTTTCCTTTTTTCTCGATTATTAATATTTTCACCTTATATTTAGTGAGGATGCGTCCTCCTACACTCTCTTAGATTACGCCCTGCACTGAGTAAATGTGCTGGTGTGATAAGGTAAGCAGCAGCGCTATGTTCTGCAGAAGTGCCCCCTCCCCCCCCTCAAAGGGCAGGCCTAATGTCATCACACCATCAAGCCTTATGTTACTATGGGAACCTCTCCAGCTGCCGTATTGCTCAGGTGAATGGCTAGAGACATGCGTCTCCAGAGCGCTCTACGTGTCCTCCACTGATCCTGCTAGTGCCATTACCTTGAACTGAGTGAATGTCATGTGCTGGTAATTGATGAAAGAATCTCTAGAGACCTCGTGTTCAGTCGCACCCATAGTGAAAGGACATTAAAGCTCTCGTCTGGCTTTCACTATTCAGTCTTCCATTTGCTGTATCCTCTGTTTCGTTCTTGATTCCGACTGAGCAGGTTTGATTATCAGGCGTAGCAGCCTGCACTGTTGAATCTGTCCACAGAGAAGTATAATTTTCAGTGTACAGCGTACACTTTCCCTCAGTCACTTTCCTCTCCCCCAGCGTCAACGTTTTACTCTATCTCAACACTCAACAGACACTATAGCCTGCCTAAGACCTGTCAACACCATTAATGACCTGCTGCTTTGCCTGATCACAGGTTAAAATAGCTTTTGGCTGTGGGCAGTGTTTGAGTGTGTCCCCTGAATGACTCCACTCAGGGCCGGAACTCTGGAGGGGCCACCTGAGCCGTGAAGGACATGGTGATGAGGTGTGTCACCTGCTGCGGAACTCCCCCCCCTCC